ACAATATTTTAAAAATAATGGCTCAGGAGGCTGAAGCAGGTATATTGTGAGTTCAATATATCTGTGAGTTCAAAGTCAGCCTCAGCAACTTAGTGAGAGCCTAAGCAACTTAGATAGATCCCGTCTCAAAATAAAAATATAAAAAGGACTAGGTATGTGGCTCATTGGTAAAGCACGCCAGGGTTCAATCCCTGATACCAAAAAAAAAAAGTAGTATTCAATCAATGTGTTTTCAATATTTTTATATAGTTATAGCCACCAAGATTGCATGGCACTGGTAGAGAGATAGCTGCATGTGAATGGAGATGAATAGAATAGAACAGGAAACACAGACACAGATCAACACAAATATATTCAACTGACTTTTTCAAAAATGTAAAAGCATTTCAGTGGAGGAAAAGATAGCCTTTTCATCAAATGCTGCTGTAGCAACTGGATATCCATGAGTGAAAATAGTGAACTTATAAAAAAGTATCACATTTTTATAAATTATTTTTTAGTTGTAGTTGGAAACAAGACCTTTGTTTTAATTAGTTTTTTTTTTTTTGTGTGTGCAAGTGTGTATGGTGCTGGGGATCGAACCCAGGGCCTTGCACATGCTAGGTGAGCACTCTACCACTGAGCCACACCCCAACCCCAAGACTCGCATTTTATATATCAAAATTAATTCATGAATCAAAGATTTAAACACAATATGTTTCTACAACTGTAGAAATTTTAGCAAAGTGGTGAAAATATTTGGGTCTAGAGCTTGGTAAAGAGTTATTAGGATTAAAAACAAAACCAAAATTCATAAGTGGTAAAAGGAATATAGTGGACTTCATTAAAGCTAAAAACTTTTGCTCTGTGAAATACTCTATTAAAAAGGGTGAAGATAATCTCTAAAATGGAATAAAATATTTGTAAATCACATAACTGACAAAAGAATCAAATCAAATCAAATAAAAAGAGTACGTTAATCTCTAGTAGTTAAAATGGTATCTTGAAACACAATAGTAGGAAAATCATACAATAAATTGGAATTTAAGCAACATGAAGATATTTTATCAAAGTGGTTATAAGTTGAAAAATAAACATGTGTAGACATGTTCAATATTGCTAGATGTTACAGAAATGCAAGCTAAAATCATAATGAGATATCACTATAGAACTATCAAAATTAGTAAAAAAAACTTATGACAATACCAAATGCTGAAAAGGTTGCAAGGTAACTGGATCATTCATATATCCCTTGTGGGAATCTAATATGGTATAGTCACTATGGAAAACAGTTCAGCAGTTTCTTTTAAAACTAAATATGCAACTACCATATGACTCAGCAGTTGTACTCTTGAGCATTTATCAAGAGAAATATGTACATTCTCTACTTAAAAATCTTGTAAATTAATGTTTACATCAACTTCATTCATAATAAATGTTCAAAATCTGGAGAAAACCCTAGATATCCTTCAACAAGTAGTGGTTGAAAGGTTTTGGTATATACATAGTCTGGACTACTCATCCATAATTCAAAAAAACCTATTAACATAAAACCTGGGTAAATCTCCAGAGAAGTACGCTAAATGAAAATATCTGATGCCAAAAGGTTATAAGGTGTATGATCCATTTTTATAACATTATCAAAATGACAATTACAGAAATGGAGAGCTGTTAAGTGGTTGCCAAGAGTAAGAAGGGAATGGGGCAGTAAAATGAATCAGACAATATTACCCTATGTACATATGCAGTTTATACCACCAGTGTGATTCTACATCTTGTACAACAAGAAGAATGAGAAATTATACTCCATTGTATATAATGTAGCAAAGTGCATTCCACTGTCATGTATAACTAATTAAAACATTAAAAAATAAAAAGGAGTGGGGAAAAGAGAAATTTTGTATTTTTATAAAGGATCAAAGTGTAAGATTTTTAGGAGAATAGAACTGTTCTCTCTCTCTCTCTCTCTCTCTCTCTCTCTCTATATATATATATATATATATATATATATATATATATATATATATATCTTTTTGAGATATCCTGCTGCAGTTCTGGAAGACATTACCACTATGTGAACTGGATAAATAGTACATAGTGTCTCTCTATATTATTTCTTATACATGAATGTGCAATTTTCTCCAAAAAAAAAATCATTGGAAAAGTTGTGTTGCATGGAAAAAATAAAAATGAAATCAGCATGTTAAGGACAATATAATGGTTGAATTTATCTTTCAAGAAATGAAATCTTCTCAGGCATTTGGCCATGGGGATGCCATGGTAGGGATTTTGGTGGGACTAACCAGGCTTTTCTATACATAATTGATAAAAAATGATCCTCCATTTCTTTTGTTTTGAGGATACTGAGCTCAGGAAAATGAAAAAACTTGAACCAGTGGAATCCAAAGTGAGAAATGAATGAAAAATTAGCAACATGAGAAATCTCTTTTGATTTATTTGCTTATGTAATGTTAATAACATCCCTTTCTTCTTTTATCCTAAGATATTTTTGTACCCGTATCAATAACAAAAATGAATAATTTCATTTTATTTTGACATTAATTTTAAAATTAAAAACTACATATAAATCAACTGATTTTGAGCCATAGTATGCTATTAAAATAATGGTAGATAAATTTTAAAATGCTTGAAATGGAGTACAAACCTACATAGCTTCATTTTTTTTCAATTGTTAAGTTGGGGTAAGTTAGTAACCATTTCTGTATTTTGTACTTCATGTTTACTCAAAGAAGTAAAAACTCATTTTGAGAAAACTATAGAGGAGATAAAAAATAATTTCAATTCAATAACATATGCCCAGTTACTGAATCAATATTTTATGTCATCAACTCAGTGAACAATTTACAATGAAAATTAATCACTTCTAATCTGCCAAAATGAAAGAAAGCATCTTGTTATTTGTCCTTTTCAGGAAAACAAGTAATGTTAAATAGTATTATGGTAGAGACAGTTTTTTAAAAAGGTCAATTGTTTTAGAAGTCCGTCCATAAAAATATAAGTTTTTCTTAGTTGGGCTTCATTTCCCCATATTATAGAAAGAAAACAATACAATGTGCTGATCTGTTAAGGTGAATAAACTACAATCCCATACATATATGCACAAATAAGGGCTCATGCAATTTTCTTCTACGTAAGATTGAGCTTCTTAGGTTGTAACTATTAAGGACAAAGGTCTAAGTATGAAAATCCTTTCTACTTTATGGCTTGAAGTATCATCTACCAACTATAGCTAAATATCATATAGAAAAATACCCTTAGCTGCTTTATAAAGAGATGATATGCTAATAAACTTATTAGTGTCTTATTGGTTATACATTTTTATGTAACAAAATACATTTAAGCTTAGTGGTATAAAATAACATTTCTTAATTCAGTTTCTATTGGTGAGGGATTTGTGAATGGGTTAGCTAGACAGTTCTGACTCAGAATCTTTCGGAAAGTTTCAGTCAAGATGATGGCTGAGGCTGTAGTAATCTGAAATCCTGATTGTGGCTTCAGGATTATTTAGAGATGGCTCACTTACATGGTTCTTAGTAGGAGACCACAGTTCCCCTCCATGGAAGACCTCTCCATAAGCTACTTGAATGTTCTCATGATATAGCAACTAGCTTCCCTGAGAGAAAGCAATATAAGAAAGAGTAATTGAAGAGGAGGAAACCATAGTATCTTTAATAATTTAGTCTACAAGGTGACAAACTGCTGCCTCTCATTTATTTGTTAGAAGTGTTATTAAGGCCTGCACATACTCCAAGGAAGAGGTAGTGTCTACCACTCAAAGAGAGGAATTTCAAAGAATTCATGGACATTTTTTCTAAAGCACTACTATGGCCAACTCCAGTTTATGCTGAGTATTTTTCCTCGTACTCTGTTGATAAATTTTACCGTAGTCACACATAAAATAAGATATCAGTTACAAAGACCCATAAATCAATTGCATTCCTACACACTGAAAAGGAAATCAGAAAAAATACCCCATTCACAAGAGCCACAAAAAAAATAAAATACTTGGGAATCAATCTAACAAACCTCTACAATGAAAACCACAAAACACTAATGAAATTAAAGAAGACCTTAGAAAATGGAAAGATCTTCCATGTTCTTCGATAGGCAGAATGAACATTGTCAAAATGGCTACAATACCCAAAGTGCTATACAGATTTAATGTAATTCCTATTAAAATTTCAATTATGTTCTTTATAGAAATAGAAAACACAGTCATGAAATTCATTTGGAAATATAAGAGGCCCAGAATAGCCAAAACAATCCTTAGTGAGAAAAGTGATACAGGAGGCATCACAATACCAGACCTTAAATAATACCACAGAGATATAGTAACAAAAATGACATGGCATTGGCACAAAAACAGGCATGAAGACCAATCACACATTTTCAAAGACACAGAGACATACTGCTATGGTTTGGATGTGATGTGTCCCCCAAAAGCTCATTTTAGACAATGCAAGAAGGTTCAGAAGAAAAATGATTGGGTTGTGAGAGTCTTAACCCAATCAGGGAATTGATCCCCTGATAAGAATTAACTAAGTGATGCCTGAAGTTGTAGGGTATGGCTGGAGGAGGTGGTAATTGGGGGGGTGTCTTTGGGTTATATATTTGTATCTGGCAAGTAGAGACTCTCTCTGCTTTCTGATCAACATGTGGAGTGGCTTCCCTTTGCCACATTCTTCCACCATGATGTTCAGCCTCACCTGGAGTCCTAAAAAATGGAGCCAGCCTCCTCTGGACTAAGACCTCTGAAACTGTGAGCCCTCAAACAAACTTCCTCCTTTAAAAATTGTTCTGGTTAGATCTTTTAGCCACAGCAGTGAAAAAGCTGAATAAAACACATACCCACATAAATACAATTATCTCATATTAGACAAAGGCACCACAAATTTATACATTGGAGAAAAGGTAGCCTTTTCAACAAATGGTGATGGGAAAATTGGAAATTTATATGTAGTAGATTGAAATTGAACCTCTGTCTCACCCTGCAGAAAATGCAACTCAAAGTGGAACAAGGACCTAGGCATTATACCAGTGACCGTGTATCTACTAGAAGAAAATATAGACCCAACTCTCCATCATGTAAGCTCAGGAATGGACTTCTTTACTAAGATTCTTAAAGCATAAGAAGTAAAATCAAGAATCAATAAAATCAAGAATCAATAAATCAATAAACTAAGAAGCTTCTTCACAGCAAAGGAAACAATCAAGAACAAGAACAGAGAACCTACAAATTGGGAGAAAAATCTTTATCACCTGCACCTCAGAAGAAGAAATGCAATCGATCAACAAATATATAAAAAAATGTTCAACATCTATAGCAATTAGAGAAATGCAAATCACAACTACTAGAAGATTTCATCTCACTCCAGTCAGAATGGCAATTATCAAGAATACAAGTAACAGTAAATGTTGGTGAGGATGTGGGAGGAAAGGTACACTCATACATTGCTGGTGGGACTGCAAAGTTACACTCTGGAAAGCAGTATGGAGATTCCTTAGCAAACTTGGAATGAAGCCACCATTTGACTCATTTATCCCACTCCTTAGTTTATACCAAAAGACTTAAAATCAGCATACTACTGTGATGCAGGCACATCAGTGTTTATATGTGGTGAGCCGCTTCTGCCGTTTCTGCAGATTATGGTCGCCATTACAAGATGACGCTGGCTCCGCTGTGGTCTGTGACAAACAACTTCTTATCTGGGAAAGTTGGCACATGATTTTTCATCACCCTGTGAGAAAGCTCCACGCGGCAGCTTTGCATTGGGGCTTGGGATGCTTTATTAAGGCTGGGAGGGGCATCCGAGAGAGAGAAGAAGAAATATCAAGGGCCTGAATAAACTGCTGAAAGAAGATTCCTGAGTTGCGTCTTCCTTGCGGGCAAGGGGTCGCGACAAGTGGTGCCGAAACCCGGGAACCAGAACTTTCAACAGTCAGGGGTGGTGCACCGGTTAGTCCCAGGTAAGTGGGATCCGCGATCAAAGCGGGGTTAGTCCCAGGTAAGTGGGATCCGCGATCAAAGCGGGGTTAGTCCCTAGTAAGTGGGATCCGCGACCAAAGCGGGACAGCTCCTCTGTAATGAAAGAGAGAGCCTTACATTTTATTGCAGCTGCACTGTGTACTTTCGCTCCTACTTTCGCTTTCTTTTTTTTGTGCTTCCTTTGTTGTTGGGTCATGGGTGCCGCATCTTCAAGTCCGCTTCTCCTGGCCCTAGATGGCCTGTTACGTTCCAAGGGACTGGAAGTGAAACATAGTACTTTACAGAGATTTTTACAGAAGATAGATATCGCTGCACCGTGGTTTGCATTTTCGGGCAGCCTTACTGTGCCTAGTTGGGATAAATTAGGCAAAGATCTTGACTTTGCTTCTGAGCAGGGCATATTAGAGGGTGGGGTGATACCCCTTTGGAAAATGGTCCGTGGTTGCCTTACAGATGGTAAATGCCAGGAAGCTGTGAGTGAGGGTCAAGCTATTCTTGAGCAACTGCATGAGGAAAAATCTGAAGGATCATGTAGTGGAGTGGCAGAGAGTATTAAAAGTAACAATAGTGAGAAGGCAAAAGAGCCTGAAGATAAAAATAGGAGAAGGCTCTACCCAGACTTGACCGAATTAAAAACGCCTGAAAACACAAGCGACTCAGAGAGTTCTGAGGACCTTGATATATTGTTACAACAACTACATAAGATAAAAATGAAAAAGAAGAAAAAGGAGACACAGGGCACGCAGGCCTACTGTAAGAAGGGGAAGGGAGTTAACATCGGTCAACAAAACTCTGAGGAGGAGGAGGTAGAATATCTAGAAGAAGATATGGTGCCGATTGCCCCACCTCTGTATGTGGGGGGGAGCCAAGGTTCCGGGAGATCTTTTCATGCACAAGTTTGGAGGACAGTTAATACAGATATGGGACTTGCATACCCTGTATTTCAGGACAATAACAGGGGAAGATATCATGAGCCTTTAGACTTTAAGATAATTAAAACCTTGGCAGAATCTGTCCGCACTTATGGCATAGATGCCGCTTTCACTCTCACTCAGGTGGAGGGACTTACTAGATTTTGCATGACTCCCTCAGATTGGGCTAGTCTAGTCTGCGCTTGTGTTTCCCCAGGGAAATATTAGGAGTCCAAAGTTGGCTGTTTAATGTTTCTGGCAGTACCCAAGACTCGGAGCGAGGTAGGAGGCTTAAAATTTCTGCAAATAATTCACAATTATCTAATGCTACATTACCCTCCGCAGCAGTCCGTCTCCAATCTCCGTTCCTGTTTCTTTTGGCTAATGTTACATTACAGGGGATGCTTAATTGTTCTAATATTACCTGTTATTTGTCTGCGTGTTGGAATGGCTCCTGGACTACGGCAGTGATTATGAAAATTCCAACTTTTGTCCCGATCCCGGTTACTGCAGATCCAGAGTCTTTTCCTATTGTTGAACTGATTAGAGCCCGTAGAGATTTTGGAATTACGGCAGCTATAGTGACAGCTGTGGCAGTGTCTGCTGCTGCAGCAGTTACAGCTGGAGTAGCCATGGCCAGCCAGGTACAAACTGCTGCCACTATTAATCAGGTTATTCAACAAACATCCACCATACTTGAATCTCAAAGTAGAATTAATCAACACATTCTATCTGGGATTTTGGCTGCTAATCAAAGGATAGATCTACTTCAAGCTCAAGTTGAGGAATTGTCTGATCTAGTACATTTGGGTTGTATTGACCAACGTGCACATTTATGTATAACCTCTGTCAGATTTTATGATTCCAGAAATGCCTCCCACATCATCGGGGAGTATCCATCCGGAACCTGGTCCATGGAAGCAGAAAACATGATCCAGTCTCAACTAACCCAGATAGCTGTCTTGAACAGTACCCGTGTCGAACCAGTGACTTTGGGTCAATTCACCGATTGGATATCTTCTGCTTTTTCCTTCTTCAAAGAGTGGGTGGGAGTAGGCATTTTTGGTGCAATGTGTTGCTTCAGTGTTGTGCTCTGTTTGTGGCTTCTCTGTCGCCTTAAAACTCGCCATGCACAAGAAAAGGCTATGATCATACAAGCTCTTGAAGCTTTAGAAAATGGCAACTCACCTCAATTCTGGCTTGCGCATCTTAAGCAGTAAACCTTTGTCATGGTCGTTACACCCCAAGTTATTATAACATTGCACTGGGATCGACATGACTTTCCTTGTTATTCTCTTAGTGTTGGAAAGCCCTTGCACTCTGCCGGTCTTACTGCCATTGCACGCAGATGGGTTTCCACACTAGTGCTTTTCTATCGTCTTAAAGTCCGTGCCTTTCTTTCAGGGTGCTGTCAACTTGTTTGTCGTTATAAACAGCCACAGTTCAGCCTCAGCTATCCCCCTTCGTCCACCATCGTCACGATACAGGATGCGAGGCAAGGCACTGCACTTGAGTGATCCTTGACGTGGACCTCAAGGAGAGCATGTCCTATTGCATGCGGGTTAGACGCGTCCACGCCCCGCCCCACGAAAAAAGGCGTCGGCTGATATGGCCTCAGATCTGGGGAAGGGCCCTCCTTGGGACTGAGCCATACTATGCAGCCACTTCTGCACAGTGGGATAGGACCTCTACTCTCGCCTGTATTGTTTTAATAAAACAAAAAAGGGGGAACTGTGGTGAGCCGCTTCTGCCGTTTCTGCAGATTATGGTCGCCATTACAAGATGACGCTGGCTCCGCTGTGGTCTGTGACAAACAACTTCTTATCTGGGAAAGTTGGCACATGATTTTTCATCACCCTGTGAGAAAGCTCCACGCGGCAGCTTTGCATTGGGGCTTGGGATGCTTTATTAAGGCTGGGAGGGGCATCCGAGAGAGAGAAGAAGAAATATCAAGGGCCTGAATAAACTGCTGAAAGAAGATTCCTGAGTTGCGTCTTCCTTGCGGGCAAGGGGTCGCGACATTTATAGAAGCTCAATTCACAATAGCCAAGCTATGCAACCAACGTAGGTGCCCTTAAACAGATAAATGAATAACGAAAATGTTTTGTATATACATAGTGGAATATTACTCAGCCATAAAGAGGAAAGAAATTATGGTATTTGCAGGTAAATGGATCATGCTTAGTGAATTAAAAATTAAAATAAAAAAAAAATAAAAAAGGCCAAATATTCTTTCTGATATGTGGATGCTGACCCATAACAAGGGAGGGTGGGGAGTAGAAGAATTGAAGTTCATTGGATTAGACAAAGGGGAATGAAGGGAAGGGAGGGAGAAGTGAAGGGGAATAGGAAAGAGAGTAGAATTAATCAGAGGCAACTTTCCTATCCTTGCATTTGAATATATGACCACTGTAATTCCGCATTAGTTACAACCACAAGAATCAGGTCCAAATTGGAATGGGATGTACTCCAAGTATGTATTATATGTCAAAATACACTCTACTGTCATATATACACACACACACACACACAACAGAAAGATATCAGTTACATAGAACTCAAATAATACAATGCAAAGTTCATAATGAACCAAAGAATGTAAAACATAATGACTTACAATTGATGTTTCTGAGAGTTCTGTCTAAGGTCTAGAGGTCTAGAATCACTTTAGAAAGCGTTGTCTTGATACCAGTCCATATCTCTCTCATTAGCATGGGGGTTTCATAAGCATTATTGGAAGAGAGCTTTTTTTTTTTTTTTTGGGGGGGGGTACTTGGGATTGAACCCAGGGAGCTTAACCACTGAGCCACATCCCTATCCCTGTTTTGTATTTTATTTTGAGATAGGGTCTTCCTGAGTTGCTTAATGTCTCACTAAGTTGCTAAGGCTGGCTTGGAACTCATGATCTTCCTGCCTCAGTCTTCTGAGAGGGGAAGAGTGAGATTATAGGTGTGTACCACCACACCCAGCCAAAGATCTTTTGTTGTACATGCAGAAAATGAGCATGGGAGCAATGAACTTTCTGTCATTAGCTTTTGTGGAAGATAAAGCATAGTGCAGAAAACTCAGAGAACAAAAAGAATGAGAAACACTGATAAAAATATTGAAGAATTTGTGAAGATGGGAAAAGTTTCTCACAACAAAATAGGTATGCTTCAGATGTTACTATGTAATTAAACTAGCTAGTGATTTAATCATGTTTTCACTACTGCATTTTAATCTAAGATTTATAATAGAAGTGGTCTAAGTCAGTATGGTCAAATGCTACTTTTTAGTAAAGAAGTAAACATAATTTGTAAGTCCATATCCTCACAAAAGAAAAGAAATTTAAAAATAAAAAAGTGATATTTATAGATTACTTTTTAACTAGCTTCAGAGGGAATCCCCTGAAGCAATTCCAATTTCCCTGGGAAGTGTCTTCCTAGGTGTTCCTTTTTTGAAATTGGAAAGTTGCTTTATGAGTCATCTGATATTAATTAGAGAACTGATAGGTGTTAGATAATTATGTTTTTATGGATTCTTAGAAGTGAACTGTATCTCTCAGTGAAAGTAAAGAACTTATAAGATACTTTCACCAACTAGCCCATCAAAATATGAATTTTTTTCTCAGGATCGGGAAAGGATGGGTGAATTTCTATAAAAAAGTATAGTTTCAGAATGTACTTTGAATAATATGGAGATTTGCATGACAATAATATGTTCCATATGTGATAGAATTATTCTGTCAGTCCATTCTGTGTGTCAGTTATGAACCACACCACAATCTCATTTTCCACAGGCTGCTATGGTCACCAACACTAGAAATTTGGAATAGCAACTTTTCGCTAGCTGATTAGTTTTAATTGTGAAACTGGGTTCAAGATAATATATATAACCAAAAACAAGAATGAATTTTTTATTTGTTTTAGTCTAAAAGGTTTCTGGGGAAAATTTGGTCTTACATGTTATTAATGAAGTTTAATAGTTCACATAGGGCAATTGTATGATACTTTAAGCTGTGTGTGGCCAACTGCATTATAATAATCTCGTTAAAAACTAAGATATATATTTAATATATTTAAGTACATTCTAGAGATTCCACTATCTTATTTAATGCCTCTAACTGTAATAGGTCCCTACCACACAAGACAATGAAGAAATAGGAGATGGAGGAGCAGGAAGAGTAGCAGCAGGAGGAGGAGGACAATAAGAAGAGGGAAAAGAAGGTAAAATTTTAAATTTTTTAATGCACCACTACATGCTAAACTCTCTACTGGAATCTAGAAGCAAAGTAAGACATACATCTCATGTTTAAGACAGTATAGCTGTAAATTAAACGTTTAAATATAAAGATCTGAATGAATGAAAAATTGGTCACCAAATTGAGAAAACTTCAAAAGAGAAGAACTTCTTTGTAGATAATTTTAGGAAAATTAAACAGAACACTTAAATATTCCCCATTCTGGTTAGTAGACACATAGAGTTTGTTATATCAAGAGCTGGAACTGGCTAAAAGTGTAATTAGGCTCAAGGAGAATTTAGGATAAATTCTTAGAGGAAAGATTCATAATAAGTTAAGGACAGCTAGTAATATATAGGGATGTCCTTAAATTTTGAGGTTGACATCATGGATAACATGATTGTAACCATAATCACATATCTTCGTTTTCTTGTCCAGGAATAGTATAAGTGCACATGAGGTATGTGTACACGTGTATGTATGTGTGTTTTGTCAGAATTACAGTTGTATTAGTAGGGGTGATGGTGTATATTTTAGGCACGTAATTATAACAGGAAGGGAATGGACTCTATTTGCAAAAGCAAGAAGAAATATAAAATTGTTTGTCATGTTTAGGGATATTAATGGAAAGTTAGGTGCACCTTATGTGTAATCTGTGTGTCTGAGGTAATAAAAAGAAGAACATTTTAAAGTGAGTTGTTACTTTCTTTTTTATTGATTTTAAAAGAATAAATGACAGCCGAATGCATTACAATTCATATATATATATATATATATATATATATATATATATATAGCACAGCCCTTCTTATCTCTGGTTGTATATAAAATATGTTGACACCAATTCGTGTCTTCATACATGTGCTTTGGATAATGATGTCCATCACATTCCACCATCCTTGCTAACCCCCTGCCCCCTCCCTTTCTCTCCCACCCCTCTATCCCATCTAGAATTCATCTATTCCTCCCATGCTCCTCCTCCCCACCCCATTATGAGTCAGCCTCCTTATAGCAGAGAAAATATTTGGCATTTGTTTTGGGGGGGATTGGCTGACTTCACTTAGTATTATCTTTTCCAACACCATCCATTTACCTGTAAATGCCATGATTTTATTCTCTTTTATTGCTGAGTAATATTCCATTGTGTATATATGCCACATTTATTTTTATCCATTCATCTACTGAAGGCCATCTAGGGTGGTTCCATAGTTTAGCTATTTGTGAATTGTGCCACTATAAACATTGATGTGACTGTGTCCCTGTAGTATGCTGTTTTTAAGTCTTTTGAGTATAGACCAAGGAGAGGAATAGCTTTGTCAAATGGTGGTTACATTCCCAGATTTCCAAGGAATATCCATACTGCTTTCCATATTGGCTGCACCAATTTCTAGTCCCGCCAGCAATGTATGAGTGTACCTTTTCCCCCACATCCTCGCCAACACTTATTGTTGTTTGTCTTCAAAATAGCTGCCATTCTGACTGGAGTGAGATGATATGTTAGAGTAGTTTTTATTTTTATTTCTCTAATTGCTAGAGATGATGAACATTTTTTGATATATTTGTTGATTGACTGTATGTTCTCTTCTGAGAAGTGGGATAACAAGAACATATCTCAGCAGTGTAAAGGCTATCTACACTAAGCCTTAGGCCAATGTCATTCTACATGGAGAAAAATTGAAGGCATTCCCTCTAAAAATTGGAAGAAGACAGGGATGCCCTCTTTCCCTACTTCTATTCAACATAGTTCTTGAAACACTGGCCAGAGCAATTAGACAAAAGAAATTAAAGGGATACACACAGGAAAAATAAGAACTTTAAATAGTTATTTGCTGATGATATGATTCTATACCTAGAAGACACCAAAAGTTGTTGCTTTCTCTAGAACTGAGAATGTGTGTTTCTTGTGCAGTTAAATTCAAGACTACTGATTTGAGAGATGACTCTGTGATATTCTTTGAAAACTTGTCAACTACACATCCAGGGAAAGGAGAGAGGAGAACCAAAAGTCTTCATGAGAAAAATGCATTGCCACAAAGGCCTGTAGAAACTATATATATACATGTATCCATCTCCATCCATTCATATACCAGTTATATTGAGTCTCCAAGAACACATAAGAGTGCTTTGCATGAAATAGGTGCTCAATAAATATGTTCAGTCTTTTCTGTTAAATAGTGTAAAAACAAACAAATAGGCTTCCATATGAAGACTTCCTATTATGGTATAGTGATTCTTTTCCTCCCATCTGTCTACTCTCTATTCCATAACAAAGAAAAAATAATTGTGGCATACATATTTATAGATCACTTGCTTCTCTCTTTTCCTTCCAATTGGTCCCCTCCAAAACCCTAAGAATTTTAAAAATAAAGAATTAAAATTAAAATGCACAGTCCAATCTCCCAATATCTCAACTTAGAAAAGAACCTGATAATTACAATGCTAAAGAAAAGCTAAAAGTACAAGTTGATGACAACAATCTAATAAACAAAATATCACTGTTAGAAGAATTAAAAATAAGAAAATGGTGGTAGCATTGCAATAATTTCTACTGTCTGGTACATGCTTTTTCAAAGACCCAGGTTTACGGCTCAAATGTTAAATTGATTCTCTCCATCCAAAATATGTTCTACTTTGTACTCTGACATTGAAGAAATACAGATAGTTGCAAAATAGGCTGAATCTGTTTATAACACTTTTGCAGCCAAACAAATTCATTGGAACATAATAGCAACATATTGCCTGGACAATGACATTATAAAGC